AAAAAACCACAGGGGCATATGTGATAAAAAATATACCCTTTTGCAAACCACAGGAGCATATGTGATAGAAAAAAACCACAAGGACATAAGTGATTCTGAAGCAAACCACAGAGGCATTTGTGAACTTTTCCCTAATTTTTTTAGTATCTATTAATCTATTTTAACTCTTCATGAGTTTTAATATTTGTTTTAGTTTAAAGACTTTAATTTTTCGGTATTTTGTAACTTTGAACGACTCTATTTTTATATAGCTAGTGATTGATATGACTGAAATTTTAGACTTTTCGAAAAATCGAAAATTGTTCCAATCCAAACAGAATAAAATTAGATTTAAAAAATAAAATGAAACCAAATGGATGATTAAATAATCAAACTAAAGGTATTGAATCCTATAATTTTTGCTTCAAAACCAATCCAATTCAGACCGCAAACATCCTTAGACAGTGGCAGAACCACTTGTATGCCAGCTGGTGCCTTGGCACGAACTAATTTTTAAAAATGGTACAGATTTTCTTCAAAAATTATAGTACAACCTTAGCATTGGTTGAGTTTTTTAAAATAGTACAATAATAACACTGACTGAATTTTACCATATAGGTCTTTTGACACTAATTGAGTTTTTGTTCTGACTCCATCACGGCCCCTAGGGCACACCCTCGTATGTTTGGCTTTTGGATCAACGAGGGAAAGTATTTTCCTTTTAGTATTAAGGGATATATTATTTTATCTATAATTTTTTCTGTTTATTACTCTTCAATATCATTAGATCATAATCTCAATACGAGAGAAAAATTAAATAGGTTAAAAAGCAACAATATTAATAAGATTTATTAAGTATTAACTAATGAAATTAAATGTTTCATAAGTAGTGTTCAACTAGTTAAAAAACAAAAATTTATTTAGAGACTCGCTATTATGTGTGTTCGTTTTTTTTTTAAAAGTGGGATCTATTTTTTTTTTCTTTTTTTAAATGCCAAGATATGTCGGCGTATTCTGGAAAAGATATATCTGCTGCACAAAAACCTTTTTACTGCGACGAGAGAAGTATTAATGTCCTATTATATTATACATAATGACAAAGATATTCTTTATGAAAGCCATAGTTACTCGCTAATAATAAATAATCGTTTGATTACCCAAAATAAAAAAAATCGTTTGACAAAAAAATATTATCTATTAATGTTAGTCACTAATGAGAATAAATGGCCACTTAATGATGAGTAATATTCAATCGTAAAATTATTCCTAACTATATCTAATATAGATTTTCATTTTCTATTGTTAATCACTCAATAAAAATAAATTATCACTTAACCACCCATGATCAATCATTTTTTCATTCTTGATTTCATATGTCTAATCTTAATTTCATTTATAAACTATCTATCCAATAAGAATAAATAATCGCCCATTTATATCTAATATTTATTCTCAAATTTCTTCTAAATAAAAATACTTTTGTCTATTAGGTAGAATACAGTGGCCCTTCTTGCTAAATAAATATTGTTTAGTTTTTCTTCATATATAATTCAAATTTTTATATGTTTGGAGATTAAATCTTTTTAAACTGTCACTGACATTAATTTTCTCGGTATTTAGAGGGATATATTTTGGGAAATTATTTGATTTGAAAGTCCCTTTTTATCTCGTTTGCTTGAAAAAAGTTAAAATTAATTGGATTTGAATGCATTTGGTTTGTTTTAAGTTTTAAAAGTTGAATTTTTTTTTTTTTTGGTGGAAAAAGTTGAAATTATTTAACCTGTTATAAGTAAGGTTGATAAAATGAATTACTAACGTAAAACTATTTCAATTTATCTTTAACGTTTGAAACACGTCAAATTCAATTTGTAAATAAACTTAAATTCGTTTATTTTACTTTGTGTTCCGAACAATAGATTTGATTTCTAAATCAAATCAATGCATTCAAATTAAATCAAGTTAAATGATTCCAAACACAATCATATTAAGTTAGCAGTATCTCTTTATATAATTGGAGAGTAAAATATTCAGTTTCATAATAGAATGGTTTAAAACAATGACATCTTGCAAATATTTTGAATTTTGTATAATCAATCTATACCTAATAATTTATGGTTTTAATGTTTGTCTTTCTCGATAAAGTCGATTGATTCAGATCAAATTGGATCCATTAAGAGCCGTACATGCACCTTTTGATGCATACGGTTCACCAAAAATCGCAAAAAGGAATCAATGTGTCGATTTCAACCCTTTTTCATATTGATAATCAAAAATCGAATGTAGATAAGTTGTCTATATTCACTCTCAAAACGATGTCGTTTTAGGTTGAAAAAGTAAAAAATTATAATAAATAATACTATTATATATAACTCTGAAATAAATTATAATTATAAAAATACATTGATTTTGAACTCAATGTAGATAAATTATCTACATTGATCGAGGAAAAAGTGAACCCATAATTTATTAGATTATTTAAAAACAAAAGTATTAATATTTTCTTACTTACCAAAACTTTGGAGTTTTTCTTACACTTTTCATTTTAAGTAAATAAACATTATAAAATGTTTATCAAGAAGATATAATGCATCCTTTTAAAACAGGTATATGTACATGCTTCTTAAAATTTTATAAAACAAATTAATTTATTTGATGACTCAAACTTATGAAAAAGATATGGCTCTACAGCAATTAATCTTGAATTGATTGGCGGGTTATACCTCCTGAAACTTGGTGGGTGAGAAATTAAAACATGCCTAAGCATGTCTACACAACATCTTGCATGGGGTATCTGATTTTATGGTGACACACTGACACTTGTCTCGTATGCTAACAAAAATATCGTCAGAATTAAGGGTGTCGTAGGTTAAATTCAAATAGTTCTTAAAAGAAGTGATCCAATTTAATATTATTGATTTTTTTTATTATCATCATCTAATTAATTTAATTTTAAATTCAAATTCTATCCAATTCAAAACGGTTTGGATTATTGTAAAAAAAAAAGGGTTTGGATTATATTATTTCTCCATCAATATAAGATAAAAATATTTCCATTAATTTCAAAACTATGTCATTTTAGACTAGGGAAATTAATAAGGGATGTTTTTGATAAAATTCATATAATAAGAAACAAATAAAATTTTAAATTACCTTTATTAATTTCCTAAACTCTCAAAATCACGTAATTTTGGAAATAATTGAGATAATTTTATTTCATATTAATGAAGAAATGATAATTTTTATTTATTTTTTAAGAAAAAATAAATATAAATCATTTTATATGAAAGAGAGTTACAGAATGTCGCAAATGACAATTTACCTTTTTTTTTCGGAAAATACTTTTCTTGTAGGAAAATAATTATCTCATGTTATAAAATTAAAATTACAAGTAGAATTTACAGGTAAAAGAAAAAAAAAGAGGTGGGACCCATCTTTTTTTGTGCGTGTAGAAAATTTGTTTCTATCATATAAAATAATATAAATATAATTTTTATTTTTTATGTGTTTTATTTTAGAGATTTATAAAAATAATGTTGCATGAGAATTGTTCTATCATGTCATAAAAATACCAAATATAGCTCCTATGTTTTTCTAAAAAAAATAAAAACCACACATTTCAATTGGTCTGCTTCAATTTCCTAGCAACATGATCAAAGCATAACCCTTTATTTTATGGCTTGTTAAGGATATCATATCTACTTTTATTTTATTTTGGTGAATTGTCCACTTTTATTTTTCTTGCTTATTATTTAGTACAACTTATTCTTTAATTAAACACAAATTAGATAATAAAAGAGAACAGAAAATACAGTAACATATTTTAGCCTAATTTTTCTTTTCAATAATAACATTAAGGTTCAGACCTATAACTCCATATAAATTATTCAAATCCATACTAATTCTTAGTTAATAAGCTTATAAATACTATTAAAATGATAAAACATAATTTAGATAATAATACCTGAACTAAAAATATATATTATAAAATAAGCTTGAAAAATAAATGAATCTAAAAATAGCCATGAACTTTAATTTGCACTGTAAATATGCTTCTATAGAAATAAGTATAATTCAGATATATGGACATTTTATTAAAATTCGTGATTATTGATCAACAATCAATAATAATTAGATACAAAAAGTACATGTGTATTTTCTAAATTTTGAATAATTTAAGGTCTTATCTCTCAATAAGGACACGAAAAAAAATACATATATAAGAGATAACAATCTTTTAAAATCATAATTACAAACTAATCCAATCTAATAGTTCTTTAAATTTTTCTAATTTTTTTATTTTAAATTTGGAAAAAGTATTTTTTTGGTCACTAGAGATAATTTTATCTCCGGTAAACTCAAAACGACGTCATTTTGAATTATAAGTTTAAAAAATTATAATGATAAAGACTAATATAACTCTACAATATATTAGACTTACAAAATATCTTGATTTCAACTCCAAAACGATGTTATTTTGATTTTTCCAAATATAACTTATCTTCGTTGACTTAAAAAATTCTTCGCCCTTTAAATTTTAGCGGTTTAGTATCTAATATAATCACTGAATTGAAAATTCAAAATTATATTATGATTTATCTTTTGGCTTATGATCTAATATAAAATTATATTCATAAAGCCATTAGGATTTATCTAATAATAAGAGATTTGGATAAATTGTAAAGATTATGTGTTTAATTTTTATTTGTATAAAAAAAATAAAAAATAAAATCATATTCATGGTTTGTCTTTGGGCTTAAAGTCCATAAAAGAAACAGTCAGGGGGCGTTTGGTACACGGTATTTGGCCGGATTCTCGGGAAATTGAATTTTTCTAAATTTTAAATTTCTGAATATTATCATATACTGAATATAAAAATCATATTTTTGAAAATTGAGATTCCCCGACAAATAAAAATTTCTCCTGTACCAAACGCACTAAGAGAAACATAGGAAGGTATAAAGTTGCGCTTTAAACAAGGAACAACATAAACCTAGTGAACTGCTAAGTGTTGCAAGGTTGCTATGGATTCCGACTTCCCCAACAAAGCATTAACCAGTACACGTTTTTCTGATCTTGAACCACCACTTTCTGAACCGGTTCTCCAAGCCCTATCCGGTTCAGGGTTCGAGTTCTGCACACCGGTTCAAGCCGCTACGATCCCTTTGCTATGCAGCTTCAAGGACGTTTCCGTTGACGCCGCCACCGGTTCAGGAAAAACCCTAGCTTTTGTTGTTCCGCTGGTTGAGATTCTACGCCGCTCTTGTTCTCATCCTAAGCCTCATCAGGTTCCTTCATGTTCTGTTTCATTGAGTAGTGTATGCAATGTGCTATTTGAGTTTAGACTTGTATGCATCCCTGAAATTCAAACAACTTTGATTTAGGGCTTAAAAGTTTTCAGCTTTGAAGAATTTGAGAGAGAGAGAGATATATTATTATGGAAAATGTGGAAAAGGGTTACTGGATTTTAGTCATTGGTGTTTTAATTTCAATCTATTTTGATGAGCTTGATTATAATTGGGTTAGTCATTTATTTTTATCAAAGATTCAAAATTGAATAAATAAATAAATAGTTGGGTTAATCATTGTAACATGTTCATTTTTTTTATTTTTTTTTTGGTGTGCCTCTCAAGCATTTCGTTATTTGTAGGTACTAGGGATAATTATATCGCCTACAAGGGAGCTATCTTCCCAAATATATCATGTTGCACAACCTTTCATATCAACCTTAGTGAATGTTAAGTCCATACTCCTCGTTGGTGGGGCAGAAGTTAAAGCAGACATGAAGAAAATAGAGGAAGAAGGAGCAAACATATTAATTGGCACCCCTGGGCGGCTATTTGACATAATGAATCGGATGGATGTTTTGGATTTTAAAAACTTTGAGGTATATGTTTCATTCTTAGCTTCCATGGATGATTTGGCCTTGGTTATGTATATCGGATGCAAATATTTACTGTAGAAAGAATGTTCAAGATTTCTTTGGTCCTGCTGACCAAATAATGTTTAATTCATGCTGCTGCATCCTGCTTTAAGATCCCTGATCTTCTATGGATTTATGCATTAGCAGAGGAACACGGATTAATGACTTCGCTCTAAAATGTTATGAACTAGCTGCAGTTGGAAAATTTGACTGAAAATGATAGAATGTTTGATTTGATGTATTTTTTCACCACTTTAGTCTGTTGACATTATTGTGATTCTGTGAATTTGTTTGTGCTTACAGATTTTGATTTTGGATGAGGCTGATAGACTCTTAGATATGGGATTTCAAAAGCAGATAACTTCCATTATATCTCTCTTGCCTAAGCTTCGTAGAACTGGGCTATTCTCTGCTACTCAAACTGAGGCTGTTGAAGAGCTTTCTAAAGCAGGATTGAGGAACCCTGTGAGGGTTGCAGTTCGGGCAGAAACAAAAACAGAAAATGATCCTGGAACATCAAAACAACTAGAGTCTTCAAAGACACCTTCAGGACTTCACATTGAGGTAAACTTATGAGGCATGACATCCTACTGCAGAGTAAATGTAATTTTTTTATCCAAGATTCCAATGATTTCACTCTTTCATATTAGTAGTGGAATCACTTCAATATTTTTTGGGTAATTTAGCAGTGAGTCTCTCATTGGCATTCTTACTAGAATCCATATAATATGTTTCATATATTTCTAATAGATGCATGATACAGTTTATGCTCTCCCTTTATTTATATATTCATCATCATCTTTTTGTTTTGAGTTTGCAGTACTTGGAATGCGAGGCAGATAAGAAGCCATCACAGCTAGTAGATATCCTTATTAAGAACCGCTCAAAAAAAATTATAATGTGAGATAGTCATAGTTAATAATCTATAATGTGATTTGCATAGTAGAAGAATAGTTTATGATTCTCAAAACATCATTTTGACTCTAATGCAGATATTTCATGACTTGTGCTTGTGTTGACTATTGGGGAGTTGTCCTTCCTCGCCTTTCTATTTTAAAAGGGTTCTCCTTGATCCCCCTTCATGGAAAAATGAAGCAGGTATAAATTTTGCTGTTAGCATTTCTCAATATTATATTGAAGAGTAATATTCTATAAATCAGCATTTTTTTCCTTATTTCCCATTATTATTGTCAAATTTTTACTGTTTGTATGCTTGATTGATTGTTATTTTTTTTTTTTCATATAGACTGTCAGGGAGAAAGCATTAGCTTCATTTACGTCTCTTTCAAATGGAATTCTTCTATGTACAGATGTTGCAGCACGTGGACTTGACATACCTGGTGTAGATTGTATAGTGCAGGTAGCTTTGTGACTATGTAGACGCTACTAATAATGTCTATGGACTATTATGTTTCTTTGCTTCTCTATCTCCATTGGTTTCCAAAGTAAATTATACATTTTGATTCAAATGTTCTCTTGATATTTACCATTTGAACACTAATATATATATATCCCCTGTTGTTGGACAGTATGATCCTCCTCAAGATCCAAATGTTTTCGTGCATAGAGTTGGTCGAACTGCTCGGCTGGGTAAACAAGGACATGCTGTTGTCTTTTTATTGCCAAAGGTATGGTCACAAATATATTCATGTTGTATTGCTTTTTATAATCTACAAATGGTTCTTTAAGTTTGTCTTGTTAATGGTAAAGTACTCTACATAAATCTGTAGGAGGAATCTTATGTAGAATTCCTGCGTATAAGAAGAGTTCCTCTTCAAGAGGGAAGCTGCTCTGATGATGCACCTGATGTTGTTCCTCAGGTTTGCCTCAGCCCTTTATTATCTTAATTTCTTGTATTGTCATAATATTTGTATAAACACCATACGAGGATCCCTTTGTTATGCTGGTTGGTAGTTAGTAATAGTCATTAGATATGTGAACTGATTAATCATTTGCTCTAATCGAGCCAACATAATAATAAGTGGAAATAAATTCCCTGATACAACAAACTGAAACCCTGATTGCTACTTAGGCTGATGCTGATATCGCTCATTCACTCTTAAAATAACTTGTTTTGATTTACTGTCTATTTAACGTGCTTACTAGTTCTATCTTTATCAAACTGGAATTCTATATGAAAATTTAAGTTCTTCAACTCTGATAACAAATTATTAATTGAAACTTGTTTTAGATTCGTTCTGCTGCAAAAAAAGATCGCGATGTCATGGAGAAGGGAGTCAGGGCATTTGTTTCTTACATCCGAGCTTATAAAGAGCATCACTGCTCTTATATATTTAGGTGAGTATTGTTTATGTACAATGTTGCAGTCACTCTATGATGGAACATTATCTTTATCAAACTGATTGTTCTCCCTCTTCCAGGTGGAAAGAACTTGAAATTGGCAAATTGGCCATGGGATGCGGCTTATTGCAACTTCCTTTAATGCCAGAGGTAAAACACCACTCACTTTCCACTGAAGGATTTGTACCAGTTAAAGATATCAATTTGGAGGACATCAAGTTCAGGTAAAAACATTTTCATAGCATGACCTTTCTCGGGTAAAAAAGCTTTGTCAAGAACCATTTCTCCCAAAACTTTAGTTATCACATGAAAGTTCATGAATGTTTTTATATCTAACATGTTCTAAGAGCCTTTTGGGCTTAAAGTATGGACAATGCACAAGCTCACCTTGTGCTGAAATTTAACTTTTTTATTTTGAAGAATGGCGGCATGGATTGTCAAGAATCAGTTCTCCAAAACTTAAGTTATTAGTTGAAAGCTCATAAATGGTTTTATTTGTAACAAGCATCATTTGTATCAATGTTATCTTAGGGAATGAAAAGCATATATAGCTTACATCAGTCTCACCTTATTGTCGTACTTCTAAGGGATAGCAATTGAGTCAAGCAACATAATGTTGCTTTGTTTAGTTTGAAGCTCACTTATGTCGAGGACTCCGAGTTGGAACGATATAAAAGCTCAATAGTCTTGGCTTGAGCTAGATTTATTATATTTTTATCAAATCATAATATTATATATTTAATTATGTAATTATAATTTAATATTTTAAATTATAATTCAAATTGAGCTTCAACCTGAAAATTAAATTTGAGTTGGAGCTCTAGCTTTGCATTTCAAGAGGGGAGGGATTGGGAACCCGTTCTTTTGTTTACTTAAAGCTATGTTGATCTGGATTAAGAAAAAGGGATTGTCCAATTCCCCTTTTAAGATTTTAGAATGATGAAAAATGAAGTTCTTGCCACATAAGGAATACAGCAGAGTTTCATATGAATGTCCTGGATTCATATTAAGTGCCATTCTCTAGTCCTTCAAAATTTATTTTTCCTTTTCTCTTGTAAACTTATGCTGATGGCTTAAAACTTCAATTATTTAGGGATAAATCACGAGAGAAACAGAGGAAGAAGAACCTAAAAGCAAAGAAAGAAGCCAAAGAGAAAGAGCAAAAACCTCAAAAACTAAGCAAAACCCCAAATGCACCTACCGTCACGAGGAAGAAAACAGCCCGACAGAGACGTGCTCAGCAGACAGTTGAAGATGAGGAAGAGTTGATGCAAGAATACCGCTTGTTGAAGAAATTGAAGAAAGGGACCATAGACGAGAATGAATATGCCAAGTTGACAGGCACTGAGGAATTACTACTATGAAAATATGCTGTTCTGGACATCATGTTTGGTGTTGTAAAGGTGTTCAGTACTGAATGACAGTTCTAAAGACCACAAAGTTTGGGTGGTAAATTACAGCATCTTTTGATACCACATGGTTCTCTTGGCATTCTCTGAAAGATCTTGAGATAAATACATCTTTCATCAGTGAGGGAGTTTAAAAAGTTCAGAGGATCGATTTCCTTTATTGGATGACAGAAAGAGATCCTTTAATCCCAATCAAGGTTATGAACAGCTTGAAGATTAATGTTATCCAACATCAATTGCCTGCTATTTAGTCTGTCTTTTATTTATTTTTTTAATTATTCTTTTCTTAGTTTGATAGTGTCAGATTTTGCTGGAGCATAATAGTAAAATTATGCTCTAGGTGTTTGTATCATTAATAAACAAAGTCATATTAAAGAATTTTGCTTTGTACTCATTACTGAATGTCAGTGAATTAATCCCCTCGCCTAGTTTGAAGTTATATTCTTTTTTCTTTTCTTTTTTCAATTTCATCCTGTGGCGCGTTTGATTGAGGAGAAATTTTTTGAATACTAGGAAAATGATTGGAAAGTGAGTTTGGTAGGAAAATATAAAAAAAGTTGTTTGGTTGATTAAATTATTATCAAGAAAATTTATTTAAATTTGTAAAATCTATGTTCGGGGGAAATTTCGCACCTGTTTTTTCACTTTCTCAGTTATCTCAAAATATCACATCTCAAGTGGTATTCTGTAACAGTGAATTTCATCCAAAAATCAACACAAAAGTCATTTCTCCATCTATTCTATTTGCTTAGTATTTTTTTTAAAAACCTGAACCAAACGTGGTATTTTTCAATATCCACTTATATTTTTTCATCAATCCCAAAATAAATCTTATACCAAACACCTGAAGTAGTTTTGTCCCTGAAAGCGTTGAATTTAACTTTGCTAGGATACTTTCTTTAATGGAAAGAATATTTTCTACCTTTGGAAGTCCTTTGTAGCAAGATTACAAGTCATTAAGGAGGCTAAGCGGGTAAAGCTCTGAGTAAAGTTTTCAACTGCAAGGTTGAACGCAACTGAAAGATTAAGTGAACAACAACTTGTATATCTATTCAAACTTCAAAGTAACCCCATAAATATCTTACCAATAAAAAGAAAAAGACAAAAAGTAACATATTTTCTGTGGGACTTTTGTCCTAGTAGGGCATGCCCGCCCTTTCTAAACTCTAAACCACTTTGATGGGAATCAAATTACGAAGGTTTTTGTCTTTGGAAGAGATTTAAAGTCTTAATTTTTGAACCAATTTCAAATCTAACTAGTCACAAAACGATGAATCGATTGAAATATCTTAAAAAAGAAAAAGAAAATTACCACAGCCTTGGCCCCACAAAGAGCATTATATATGTCATTTGAAGATTTTTAACGCAACATAAATCTGTGAATTGGGTTATACTTAATCTTCTCCAGTAATGTGTGTAAAGTAAATAAATGGTAATGATCTTAATTTTGTTTTACTCCATCATTTCATATCAGACCTTTCCAAATTCAGAAGAAACTTTTTTCATCTTCCAATACTTTGTTACTCCGTTGTCCGTAAAAGTTATATGCATAGCATACTCTTACATTTCAGTATTAATGATGAAGGCATAATGGGTTACCCTTCGAGGTTCATGCAGAGGTTCATGCAGTCACAGTTGAAACATCTTGCATGAAAATAAGTATTAACTTTTGTTGATGTAAATGTTCATATTAAGAGTGAACTATCTTTTCTTTTTAAATATTTTGTTTTTAATATCTATAAACTGGTGATATATTTTGGATTCTTAATCTTTGAATTATAAAGCTAATATATATTTACACACACACATATATATAATATATATATTTTATATATATATATATATATATATATATATATATATCAAATTCAAATTATATAATTATCATGAATAAAATGTTTAGCAGATGTTGCAACTTATACTTTATCATTGTTTCCAGTTTAGAATTTAGGATTTGATTCTTTTAAAACAAAGAGTGTATTTTAGAAGGTAAAATGAAGAATTATAATTGTTGATTGAAAAATTAATTAAGTAAAGTTTAATAATTGTTACAGGGAAATGATATTGTAACAACCAAGTTGTGTTACTATCAAGTTACTACCAATAAATCTCACCGTTAGATCGATCATGTTGATCCAACGGTTATATTTATTTCCATCTTTGTATGGTCATGATTTTTCAAATTTAATACTTTATATTTATTTCCACCTTTGTATGGTTATGATTTCTCATATTTAATGCTTTCACTTTAAATATGGGAAATCATAACCATACAAAGATGAAAATAAATATAACCGTTGGATCAACATAATTGATCTAACGGTGAGATTGATTGGTAATAACATGGTAGTAACACGACTTAGTTGTTATAATATCCTTCTCCTTTGTTATACTGTAAATTTATTTTATCATCATCTTAACTATTAATTTTTTTAATAAACATCATCTTAACTATTAATTTTTTTAATAAAAAATTATAACTTTATATTTTACTTTTTAAAAATGCATCCTTCACTTTAAGAAAAAGTAAAATTCTAAAATCTAAACTTAAGAAATACAATTGTTAAATTGAAAATTACACTTATAAGCTACCTTGTGTCTTAAAAGAATTTAATCCTTCAAAATTTACTTGTCTTAATTCGTATTATTGGAAATAATATTTCTCTTCCGAGATGAAAATAATTTTATTTTTTGTATTTACATGAAAATAGGTGAAATTCATCTTTTGTCTTTCTCTTTCCTCTCTTTATTAAGCTTTACTCATTTTTATCTGAATGCCGGAATAAAATTAATCCTATGAAAATTTAAAATTACTTTCGAATTACAAGTATCTTGACAAAATCTTGTACTGTTTTTAATTTGAGGAAATGGAATCATAACCGTTGACGTTGGAAAGTTTCTTTATTATCCCAGCCACACTGAAGACTCATTATTATCACGTATTAAAAGAAAAAATATCTACCTAACTACATCTATTTTACCCCTTCTCTATTAATTAATGACATACGAATTTTATTTATTTATTTGATATATAATTTAGAAATATTCTCATTCAATCTCCTTCTATCACGTTTTATTAGAGTACGGTCTTAAGATTAGACCATCACTGAAAGAGATAATGCATAAACCCTTGTCATTAGAAAAAGAAGACTAATCGAGAAACGATTTTTCTCTAACCATGCTTTAAATAAGATTTGAACCATTGATGAAAGCAATTGCTTAGGCAGGTTGTCAAGCAGTGTTAACTCTTAATAAAATCGGACCGACTCGGTCAGATCAATCTGAGAATCAGTAAATCGGTCATATAACCGATTCGATTGAAGTAACGGACGGGCCATGCATCAGAACCGATGCGACTTGGCTGATTTTCATAAAAATCAGTAACTCGGCCCGATCCAAAAAAAAATTCCAATACTTTATTTCAAAAAAAAATTCATAATGGACATATTTGAATATTTTTTTGTTTATTGATTTACATAAATTATGTACCTTCAACATTAATATTATCTCAATTATGCATTATGCAAAAAAATTTAATTTGATTTATAGTTAGAGATGTCATTTTCTGAACCTTAAGCCCCGCATCACGATCATTATATTTTTGTTTGATCATTTATTGAATAATAATATGTGATTTATTATTTTTTATATTAAAATATTTGAAATTTTTATATTTTTTAAATATTTGAGTATGTTTATAATTTTTTAATATAAATTATAAAATTACATATAATTACTTGGTGATGCAGTTGAACCAGTGATCTACTACCTCGACCGAGTCAATGACCGATCCAATTTTAATAACACTGTTGCCAAGTGAGCTACTTGGGGCTTATTTTTATTTTTAATCAATAGATAAAATTACCACATAATTACATTAATTCTACCTCTTTAATGGAGCACTTTTTTGGTGCATCAGATCCACCATATATCTATCCAAAAATAATAAAAATTTGAGATTAGATGAAAAACATTTAAAAAGATATGAATTAAATGAGTTTTTTTTTTTTTTTTTTTTGTTGTAAAAAGATGTATCTACATCTCCAAGAAATTTCCCCTTCAATCAGATTAATGTAATGTTATCTCATTTATTTCTACATAGTCAAAAAGTACAAGCTATGCGAACGAGTACTTGCTCGTTGTGATGGTAATGAATGTGAAAGAAAGAAGATTTAGCGTACGATGATTACTCAGCTTCTTCGAACCTATATAAACCGCGAATTCTTAATCTATGTCCGAAACATCCTGCGTTTCCTTGTTAAAACAATCCGAAGTCTCAACCTTTTTGTTACCATGTCTAACCCCAAATCCGAGACACAGCCTCAAACCTCTGCTTCCGAAGCTCCACCCTTTGATCCAACAGAACCATCCGTACCCATTTCTTATCCAATCAAAACCCTTCAAGAGCTTGAGTCTCGCTCCTATTTTGAGTCCTTTCACTACCCTTTTAACATAGCTACGGTTCCCCTTCTCAATGATGGTTTCTTCTCTACTTCATTGCCCAATAGGCGCAGATTGCTTGTGTGTCATGATATGGCTGGTGGTTACTTAGATGACAAGTGGATTCAAGGTGGTAATAACCCTGATGCTTATTCCATATGGCATTGGCATTTGATCGATGTGTTTGTGTATTTTTCCCACACTTTGGTTACTCTTCCTCCTCCTTGCTGGACTAACACAGCTCATCGCCATGGTGTTAAGGTACTTGCTTGTTCAAGATTGTGCCTTTGCTTTCTTAACTTAGTTATTAACTTTTTTTAAGTTCAATTTTGAACTAGTGGTGTTAGTATAGAGTATAGACTCATGTTGTTATGTGTCCATATATCTACAGTTAAATTTTATAATATGCAAATGTTTGTAATTTTATTTTATCTTTTGAATGGTCTGTATGTTATCACATGTAGGATTTACCATGAACATGATTCTATAGTCACATCACTCCTTTTTAATTTGGTGAGGTTGAGGTGAGTTTGCATGACCACTAATTGTTGAATTTGATTGACATGATTATTTTTGTTGAAGGTGTGTTTTAGATGATTATTACGATGCTAAGTGAGTAGCTTCACTGTCCTTTCTTTCAGTAGTGATTTTGTAGCCATAATTGTTGTTCATTTTGATTTCGGGGAAGGGTTGGGATTTTCTTCTTTGGCTGCCTCTGCTTGTTTAAGTTTTTAATTTGAATGGTTTTGTTCGATCCAAGAGGGATCATCATTGATATTGGACCTGAGGACTGGTGGTATCTATGGTGGAGATAATCGCCAATGATAGCAGATTATTGTGCACAAGAAGGCTAGAAGTCAATGGGGGTGGCATGTGTGCCTGATGGCAATAAAGGAGGCTTGGGTTTCAGAAGTGTTTGCCCGTGATGTTTAACCCTTTATTTATAGAGTGAGTTTAACTAAAGTTGGGAGAGTTTGTTTATGACTCAAACTCTTTAATGGTAAAAACTCACTATCTATGATTCGTATTCGGAATCAGAATTGGTTTGGGCTTTTATCTTCTAGAGCACGTGAGACCCATTATGTGTGTCCACTGTCCAGAACAATTTTCTTTATGTTTGCAAGGATTTTTTGTGAACACTGACCCACTCACCCTCAAATACTAAATAGTTTGACATAAATAGTAACGATTTAGGTTTGTTGCCATATGGAAGTTTGACAGATGATATAACCACTCATATAAACTTTAAAATTTTGACAAATCGTTTCTTCTTTGCTTTACTAAGAATCAAATATTAAGGTCAAATATATTCTTATAATGTTGGTTTAATTTAACTGATGATCTATTGGTAATGTTAACTTCTTTTCTGAATCCTTTGTGGGAGCTCAGGATTTTTGGCATTTGAGTTTTTTCTCACTTGGAGATGTTTCTGGCATTATTTATTTCTCATGCTTTGATCAGAATAAATAGTTTATTTTTTGGTTGTACTTGTTACTTTTATGTTTCAGGTGTTGGGAACTTTCATCACCGAATGGGATGAGGGAAGGGCTGCCTGTGACGCACTGCTTTCAACAAAGGAGTCTGCACAAATGTATGCAGAACGTCTGGCAGAGCTTGCTGTTAATTTAGGCTTCGATGGGTGGCTAGTAAATAATTCGTTATCTCAGTGTGCTTTTTAGGGTTTTTATTCAAGTCTATTTGAATTTTAGATTATCTAATTAAGTTGATATGTGATTTTAATCACATCCTTGAAGTTTGATTATGCGCAATAAGTGAAAATTCACAGCATTAAAGCTTGCTCCACATGCACGTTTAGTGCCAAAATTATAAACTAGAATGGTTAGAGTTCCCGTTCATTGAAATTTGGCTCTCAAGTTGAAGGCCTTTGGCCTGCTATCTAAATACTGCCCAAATTGAAACAGAAATAAATTTCTAAGAAAATGATGGGAGATGATAATATTGTAGAGATTTTACTAGAATAATAATGAGGATTTGTTTTTTAGCTAAATTTTTTATTATCTAATGTTTTAGAAGATAAATGTATCATTGGAAATTTTATGAGTGGCCTCACCCATCCATATTTTAACAATTGTCAGACATTCTCAATGAATTGACTTTATTAAGTAAATCATATTCGGTGCATTATGCATATTTATACTAAGAAGCAATACATATCTATTTTTCTAATACTTCACCGAATTGCATTTATCATATTCTTGTCAATGATTAAAACCAGTAATTTAATTGCAGATAAATATGGAGGTAAATTTGGATCCGGGGCAAATTGCTAATATGAAAGAGTTCGTAGACCATTTATCATTGACAATGCATTCTTCTGTGCCTGGATCATTAGTGCTATGGTGAGTGGTGTAAGATAAGTCAGCAATTATTTATTGCAGTGGATGGTGCCAAAAGTCGACTTTGATGTGTTTTCTTGGTCATGTAGGTATGACAGTGTTACAATTGATGGTAAACTGAATTGGCAAGATCAACTAAACGAATATAATAAACCATTCTTTGATATATGTGATGGAATATTTGTAAACTATACATGGAAGGTATTGCTTATCTTCCCCTAGCATGCTTCTGCAACACTGATTTTTGATTAATTGCCGTTTTTCTTAGTTAATTTTATGATGTATGTTGTAGGAAAACTATCCAAGGCTCTCTGCTGCAGTTGCCGGTGATAGGAAGTTTGATGTATACATGGGAATTGATGTATTTGGAAGGAACACATATGGTGGTGGACAGTGGAATGTATGTGGTCTGTAATATACACATTTTTTTTATTGTATAGCAATATGTTGTATGTCTGCTTTCCCAATTTCAAACTTGTTCGAAAATCTTTTTTTTTTTTTGGGTCCTGAGTGGAACATAGGCCAGAAACTGAATTTGGCCCATTGGACCTTTATATTTCTTAGTGAACATGCTTATGTGGCATTTAATAGACATCAGAAAAGAACTACATGTACCACCAAGCACTTGGATCAACTGGTAAGGGGTTGTTCAAGCTTAGCCATTGGTCTCGAGCTTGAGTCCCTGAGAACACAACTGTGTTAAAAACTTGGTAGACATTTAATCATCAGAATACATTGATTTCATTTTGGTATATTGCAGAATTTATTGTGGATGTTCTTTTAATGTTATAATTTCCTTCAGATAAGTTTCTTATTGCATGTGGCACCCCTTCCTACGCTGAAACAGCCAACTTGCCTGTAACCGCATATCTTTTTACCAAAAAGATAATTATCACTTACTTTTGTTTCAAGTTGCATTGTATTTAAAGTCTATGTATGAAAACACTTTCTTTTGGAGTTTTTGTGGGACATAAACTTGTGAAATTTGAGATGCCAATTAGTGTTGGACAAGTGTAGTGTATGAATGGTAAAGTGAATAGGATATGTGTTATATTCCCTTTTCTTGTTAATTATATCAGAGTTGTTTTTAATGCTTTCTTTACTCTGTTATGGATATCTCAGGCAAATGTTGCTCTTGATTTACTAAGAAAGGATGACATCTCTGCCGCAATATTTGCTCCTGGATGGATCTACGAGACAAAGCAAGCACCAGATTTTGAGACTGCTCAGAATAGGTAATTTAGCTATCTGTTTTGCAGTACCCAAAAATTTATTGCAAATTTGCTATAAAAAGGTCAACTAAGTTGATGAATAATAATATTAATAGAAAAAAAAACACTCCCCATTAAACCCCGATTAGTAAGGGTAAGGGTGAGTACAATCCTTGTACGCAATCTTACTCTTGCATAGTTGTAAAGAGGCTGTTTCCTATTTAGAAAAAAAAAAAAAAATCTAATGCCAGAAATGGCCAACATTGTAAATAAGAAGGAATATAAAATCGGAGACACCAAAAAGGCTAGAGGTGATGAATACAGTCCACCATCTATAAGCTGGAATCATTTTGAAAAAAAGAGGATAAACATATAGTTGCCACAGAAACTACTCTTCAATATCTTCAAACGTTTTGATTTCAATCTGATGGCATCTTTAACTTTTAAAAATTCTTGTATTAATTTTATAGATTCAGACAAATAAAATGATACAAATTACTTGAAAGAATTGCAAGTACTCTGAATATGCTTCTTTGTATTTATATTATCCAGAATTACAATCAAATGGAAACACATTACATCTATTTCTCCATAGTTCTGCTATGGCTCAGCGTTTAAAGGAAAGAAATAACAATGAAAAGTAACCAGGAGCAGCCCCTGCATACTCCTAAGAAAGATTCCCAACTATTGACCCCTTGGTGCCTCCACTCTCCTCTCACCTCACTACTAATACTCATTTCTAACTAACTTGCAAAATGCTGCACGTTGCCCTCCTCTAACCGAATGGCTGACTCAGCATTAGCCAGCTGCATTGCTTGGGCTTCATTGGCTGACTCAGCATTAGCCATTGCTTGGGCTCCATTCGATACTCGTCTCCTGTTTGGATCCCTTACGTGGACCTTGCTTAGTTGGGCCTTACGCAATTGTGCTCTATCATAAAACCTGTGTCATTTTTGGTTCTTGTGTTTTCTTTTTGGATTCCATAATACATTTGGATTATTCCACATGTTTTTTTTCACTAAAATGTATCACATGACAAGCCTGGTATTTTATTTCAAACATTCTCCTGATTACATTTCTTCCTGATCACTCCAAAGTCCAAAAACAAACCATTTTTGTCATATGCAGTAGCCATAAACTGTAGTTTAGTAAATTTAGTCTCAAGTTTTTTAGTTCTTTGATTCCCTGAGAGAACCTTATGAAGTATTGTTACTTTTATCTCAATTCTGCATTGTAGCATTATGTCAGGTCATTCTTCTCTGTGTTTATTCCATCCTGAATGGAAACTTTACTGATTTATGCCAATCTCTTGGCGCACTTGCTATTTTCTGGGAGTTGATAATTTTATTTTTTTTGAACCCGCAAAAGTCATATACATTATTTACGCAAGCAGAAAAATTTAAGAAATTAATCTATTCTTAATCATGCATATCTGATTGCCACAGAAATTCTAAAATTTTTCATGCATTTTTCATATGGGTTATGATAGTGGGTACCAATTACATGGTCAAAGTTTCTTTTTGTATTAATGATGGAGATCAAAACTTAAATGTCTTTACTCATGAGTACCAACCAGCATCATTGCCATGCATTTGATATTGCAGTTGGTGGGGTCTTGTGGAAAAGTCATGGGGAGTACTGCGAAATTATGCTGGAGTACTACCATTCTACACAAATTTTGATCAGGTTAACAATTACAATTCTTTTCCCCTTTTATACTTTTTTTTTTCCATTGTGCATTTGGCAGCTGCCGATCTGAATAAAACTTCCAACATGCTTTTTCCATATTTTATTCAATAGGATTTATTTTTAATTTAATTTCAGTGAAACTGATTCTAAGAATAATTTGTAAATGCCAAGAGGCAGATGATGGATGGACTAAAAAATTTTTATATCCTTGAAGATGGAACTTCCTCTATCCAACTTTAGTTCAGTGCACACCAAACTGGCAAGGAAGAGATGACCAACACAAAATGTAGCACTTAACCTCTGGCAAAGAAATAATTTGCTGCATGGTAGCTTAAAAGCCTAAACAAAGACCTTGGCAATCTTCTACCAGAAATAATTAAATAAATAAAAACCTCAGAAAATTTCCTTTTTTGCAATCTCACTTTAGATCAAATACTTATGCATCCTATCTTTATTACTTTTAGGGACGTGGTTATCATATTTCAGTTGACGGAGACAATGTATCAGATGCTACTTGGTGCAACATTTCTTGCCAAGGCTTTCAGGTATGCACCCAATAATGATTCTTTCTTATTGTTGGCTCAACTATTTGCCGTATAGATAGTTGGATGGATGACCTAGAAAAGATTATATGCCCCCTTATTTTTTAATTCTTACTTTGTCATTTGTAAGATTAGTGGTTTATTTTAAGTAATATCACTATAATAACTGGAAAACTAGGTTTAGTTTAATATGGTGAATTTGTGATACTGGTTAAGAGTTTTATTTTAATCTAATATTATCATATATTTGTGTGCAGCCGCTACTTGGGTTTGCTGGTCCTACAAATTCTATTCAAGTTCTTGTAGAGTAAGTGATAGCATATATCCAATATTTTGAAATGTTCCTATAACTGGGAAGTGCAACGGAATGTATATATCACATATTGCATATGTTCAAAGTAAATATTCTATGATAATATATGGCTAATAAACTGAGGAACTCGTGTGTGTGTGTGAAGAAAACCATCATAGGTTCTTTTTACTTATTGAATTAGAGAGACTTATCTTGGCTAGAAATATGATTTATTACTAATCTTGCTTCAATTATTTGGCCATCCCCTAGAACATCTTTGTCTATTCTTCCATTTTAAATGTAATAGAGTTACTACATTACAGATCTAGCTCTGACAAGATCTAAAGTATTTGTTGTCTTGCTTGCAAATTGCAGCTTGAAAGAAGCATCATATAGTGGAGGGGGAAACATTACATTCAAAGGATCTCTTGAAGAGCGAACTTACTTTGAGAGGAAAATCTTTCAAGGAGAATTTCTTTTGAACGAGTTGCCTATCCACTTTATTTACTCTGTAAGCTATAACTTTTTTGTCATAATTGCTGAAAAAACTGCACATCAATCTATTATCCTAGAGATTAGGGGAATTAGGGTGTGTTTCCTTGATCAATGGTATAATGCACATTCAGACAAGCTCACCGAAAGTCATTATATATTATGATTTAGTATTCCTATCTATACCGTCTTTTTTCACACGTGAAGTCCATGACTAATGCAGGTGAAATCTGATGGAAAATCTTCGTTGGGGCTTAAGCTCGAGTTCACTTCCTCCAGCAACAAAAGAATGTCTGTACTTCTCACATCCCGTGCCTTGAATCATTTCTCAAGCAAATTCAGCAAAGTAATCATGACAAGTGAACATAAGGGATTTTCCCATGGATGGGTTATAAATGAAGGTACAATTGCAATGGATGGATACACTTTAACAGAAATCCATGCAGTGTGCTATAGATCAGATTCTCCATTCAATGGAATGAGATGGCAATACAGGTTAGATGGCAATGATGGTACTGTGGCTTCTCCATCAGATTATTTTGCAGTCCTTGGTCATGTCACAATCAAGGCTGCTGACTATAAATCAGATTTTCCCATGTCTTCTTCATGGCTAGTTGATGGCAAATACATAAAATGGACATCAGGTCCTCAGGATTCAAAGACCCTTAGCGTTAAAATTTCTTGGAAACTGAAAGATGGAAAGAGTTATCTATGTCCAAAGTATAACTTGTATTTGGTGAAAGTACCAAAACAAGCAGGTGGTTATCAAGGTAAAACATCAGAACATGTGAAGGAGTACCTTGGAGTAGCACAAGTAAACTGTTTTTATGTTTCTGACCTCATAGTTCCTTATGGCACTTCTAGTCTCAAATTTATAATTCAAGTCTGCAGTGTTGATGGGACAGTTCAGGATTTGGATGAGTCTCCATATTATGATTTGGATGATGAAGATCCCTATATTGTCATAAGAATGTAAGATTATTTCTCCTATAAAGGAAGAATGTAACATTGGATCTATTCTCTTAACATGTTATACCTAATAAATTACTGATTCCTACTTTCATGTTCTATATACAAGTAACAGGACCGAAACAGTAGCTTGACTTGTGAGTTCATTATCCATAGATGACTGAAACTATTTCTTAAGTCATTCTTGACATCCTATGGTAGTGTAAAGTCAAGTGCTTATTTTTTCTTAAAAAAACAACTATCTTCTTAATGTAGATTTTTTCAGGACATAGTATTAATTTTGTTTTTTTAGGTGAAAGTCGTATTATATCAAACACTAATGCCCTACAACTTATTAAGATATAGAATGTTACACGTCTAAACTTACTGGAGTGAATTAACAACGGTTATTCTATGAAAACTACTACTAAACACTACAGTAACTGGTTTAATGTTTAACCTGAACCAGGATTCAGGTTTGAAGTGACATGGGTAGGACTCTTTCAACATAGGCTTACCCGTGATTGAACACTGCAATACCACCCTTGTTAAGTTAATCATTAGATATTTTTGACAAAACAGCTTTGTCTGCGTCCACATGGTGGTGTGGAAAATTTAGGATCAATATTTGTATAGCTTCAAGTTCAACATTGTGTAGAATTTATTTTTTTCCATATATGTTTATTTGGTTGGTATTGAAGCAGATCTTACTTTGACTTAAGTAAGAGAAAGAAGAAAGATGAAGAGAACTGAAGTGGGGTAGGTTAGTGGCATCTGAATTCCAATACAAACTTTCGTTTGGAATTATTATCCTCGAGCCCTCAAAAGGAAATTCATGCTGCCACAATCACTTTCTTTGTCTCCACAAAGGTGTAGTGTTTTAGATTGATAGACAACATCAACAAGGACATGCCTTTGTCTCGTTGTGTTTTTTAACTTATTATCAATGCTATATTAAACTTAGGACTTTACTTCTCTCATGTAATATGAGAGAAATTATCTTATGTTGTGAGATAAATAAAATGGGATCCACCAATTTTTAAAAAAAAGAAAAAAAAGGGCACATTTTTTCATGTGAGTGTAATATGAGAGATGAATTTCATGTAACATAAAAGTATAAATTTTTCTTAAACTTACATTATATAATTTGAGGAGCGTTATATTTATAAAATTTTCGTTTATAAACTCAATTATGTATTTTGGAGAATACAAATATTCAAATGTATATTTCTTGAAATACATAGTTAAATTTATAAATAAAAATTTATAAATATAACCTCACCCATATAATTGAGTATTTTTTTTTTATTTTATCTAACCCGACTGAAGTTTCACGAATGAGAGGACACGTAGTCAAGTATAAGGTGCAAGTTGTGTTCGTCTCTTTTGCAATCTTAGCTATAATCTGAAGCTTCCTGCACTTACCACCACGTAAAGTTCAAGAGCAAACACGCAACTAGTTCCCATTACTGGCACATGACGTGTCTCTGTAAAGTGCAAACCAAAAATTGAGTTACGGTGTTACAACATTGACTCTGATTTATGGTGTTAACTACTGTTATAACTTTGTCTTTACCCAAAATTGAGTTAAACATAAGTTAGATCTAGTTGAAGCCACGTAAAAATCCTGGTGTGAACAATTCACAATTGAAAGATAAATTATCAATTGAACGAGAATTGTTCTTGTGAACAATTCAAATAAGCCAACTTATAAGGATAGCTTGTGGTTTAAATAAATAACAATTATTATGCTATGCATCATTGTAATCCATAATGTCAATATCCACTTAATAAATATTTGGAGTTCTTTCTAATTTAATGCATTATTCCAAACTTCAAAGTATTCGGGTGCATTTTATAAGAAAATTATTATATTCATTTTAATTCCACAAATTAAAAAGTTTGTCAAGAAAAACATTAATCTCTTCCTTTGAAACCATCCGTGCATGATTCGGTCTAATTTTTTTTATGGGAAGTGTTATAGTTATCACCAACTAAACTTATCATCGTTACAACTAATCTAATTTCCGTTAGATTATAATTAAATCTAACGGTGATTAGTTACCCTTTATAATCTTAATTTTTTCTCTCATATTCTCTCTCTCTTTAAATGATTCGGATACTTGGACAACATAATATTCAAACTGAGAATGCCCATGGATCCTAAGAAGATTAAGAATATACTGCAATGGCCTGGGTTCGTCAAAGACAATGAAAAATTCGTTAAGTTGTTCGTTAATCTTATTAAAAAATATTTTTTATTACTCAACTCGCTGATCTGGAGGGGTCTTCTGCACAGATCTGGGTTGCTGCACCTGATTAGTTTATTTCTTCTTACTGTTTTGTTTTTGCTTTGTTGTTTTTAGGGCATTGTCCCTTTTGTTTAACCAAAAAAAAACTAGAGAGAGACAAAGAAGGATGAAAACCAAGAGAAAGAGAGAGAGAGAGAGAGAGAGAGAGAGAGAGAGAGAGGGGATGTGAGAGAAAAAATTAAGATTATAAGGGATAATTAATCAGCATTAGATTTAATTCTAATCTAACGGTGATTAAATTAGTTGTAAAGGTGGTAAGTATATAACCCTCCCTTTTTTATTGGATAAATAACAGATATTTTTCATAGGAGGCAATCATGTTTGAGCCAAAAATATTCACATCATGGTGGGATTAGCTCTCGCAAAAAGAATTTTTTGCATTCATAAAGATTTAAATCCATGATTTTGCTTAAGCATAATCAAACATCTACCACTTGAATCAATGCCCTTGATTTTTCTTGCCCGATTCTAAGCAAGTATAATGGATCTAGTGCACGTGAGTAGCTTACCCATTCTTTGTAACACGAAAATTATAGAGACAAATACTAAATTGTAAAGGCAAAGAATATTGTAAATTTGCAATTGTTTTGAACAATATGGCAAGTATGTAATAATATAATTAATAATTTTTTCCAGTCAAATAACTAGTAGTTGAGTAAAACTATATTTGGAATCCGAAAGACATGTTCTTTTTAATATAGTTTCTTAAATATTAATTGTGTCAACTTAATTAGTTTTATCTTAATTTACATTTCCATTATTTTTAGCTTCTCTGTCCATGTTAATTTAATGAATGGAATTTTTAACGTGGTATTATAATATTCAAATATTGGAAGACTGGTATTCGAATATTATAATGTAAATTTTAAATGATTAAGTATTTGATCAGATATTTATTTATTGACCAAACTTGTATATTTTAAAGTTTAACACATAAGTATCGAAGTGGTATGTTGTACAATATTTGAATGCAGAATCCTGATGTTTGAATATTTACAATTTTCATTGAGATATTTGATGACTAGCTTTCAATATTCTAATAGTATAAAGTTATATGAGCACTTCATTAATGGTATTAGGTTAAATAAATGATAGGACTAAATTATTTAGATTTATATCTAAGGGACTAGATTAATAAAATTAATCTCTAAAAAGTTAAACTAATATTAATTGTTTTTTTATATAGATCCTAATTATCTCTTTAGGTGGTGTTTGGTTGGGAGCTTTTCAGCGGATATCTATGTTTCTGAAGTATGGCTTTTAGAAACACCATGTTTGTTTCAAGTATTTTCCCCAAAAACCCATCTATCCAATTTGTCTGGATTTATGAGAAATATAGATATCCGCACTGTTTAGAAACCCAATTTGAAGGTGGGATTTTTCGAAAAACTGGTTATCTGACTTTTAATGCACTGTTGATTTCATAAAGTTACCTAATTTTCCCAGTAAAGTTTTTCCCCACCAAACAACTTTTTTTTACATTTTTCTACCTATCTCACTTTATCTATCTTTCCAATCATTTCTCTATCTATTACATTTCCCTACTATTCCAAAAAAATTTCCGAAACCAAACGCCCCCTTAAGGTAAGTCGGCTTCCGGGGATCACTACAAACTTTAACTCTTCTAGTCGGCTATAAGATTAATTTCGAGTTGGAGTTTAGCCACAGTTAAAGTTCTTCGCCCCAACTCGAGATTAATCTCATAGCCGGTTCAAAGAGCTGAAGTTTGTAGAAATATTCCGAGAGCAACTCGCTTCAAAAAGATAATTATGATCGATATACAAAAAAAAAATGGATTATTCACTTTTTGTACGTAAACCAGACACTTAAATAAAGTTTAACTTCAAAATGTTCAAAGAGGCAGGATCCTTTGACACCGGTGTCAAATTTTAAATTTGACACCTCATCTCAGAGTCGTTAGATCAAAAAGATCAACGACTCTGATTTGCAATCATGTGACACCATTGATCTTTTTTAATCTAACGGCTATCAGATGAGGTGTCAAATTTAAAATTTGACACTGGTATCAAAAGATCCTACCTCATGTTCAAAATAAAATACTAAACTCATTCACTAGCAAAATACACTAATTATCTGGCTTTTTGACCCTTTTGCCCCTCATTAATTAATTAATAATCAATTTGCCCCTGATCCAGAACTATCCACCAACGTGCCCCCTTTTAGTCGACTACCTTGCTTTTTTAGTCGAGCAAATGGTCAAACTTCAGAAAGTGGACTACCGCATATTTAGTCGACTAGAAAAGCATCTTAATCGACTACATTTTTGGGATATTTAGTCGACTAAGTAACGATATTTAGTCGACTAAATACCGACTGAAACCCTATATTTTCCATGTTTTCAGTCTCGTTTCGATTGTTGTTGTTGTGTAAACCTAAATAGCTCCCTTTGTTCATGTGTAATCCTCTCAATTCGATTGTATTTCATCCCACCATCTCTACAGACCTAATATTGTGAAATCATTGTCATTGCCCAATTCCAAACCCCAAAATCCGAACCCAAACCCCCAATTTCAGAACCCTAGTCCCAATTTCGTGAGGAAGATGAGCACAAGTCCAAACATGTATGTGACAATGATCTACTATGATGGAAAGCATTATGAAGGCCCCAATGGTGTTCAATTTGAAGGAAAAACGAAAATGTTGAAAATCAAACGGGGCACTACATACAATGAGTTAAAGGAGAGAATTCAGCAAAAATTGGGTCTGCAAGGTAGCCAATGCGTTCAACGGATGATTGCCAGGGTAGAGACAACAGTTGG